CCTCTTCATTTCTTCGCCATTTAAGAAATGCTAATGTTGAGCAAATTTCCTTGCCTCGGGTAAGTTTTTTAAGTGGTGCTTTACACTTCTGCACATACCAAAAAAGGCACCACAAGGAAATAATTGCTCCTGCTATATTCCTTCAGGGAGCACTGGCCCTGCCTGCACTCACACAGCAATATGGGTTTTCCAGTACCAGGTTTATTGGGATGGGGCTGGAGTTTTCTGAATCTGTGTCCGCAATGTGTGGAAAGACCCCAGTTGGTCAAACTGCACTAAGCAAAAAGGACAACTCCTTGGACTTACTTTTAGATTTTTAAGATCATTGTGAATAAACATAGCTTTATTCATTTTTTGTTTATTGTTGTGGGGTTTTGTTTGGTTTGTTTTTTTTAAGTGCTACTGGGCAAACCCAACCCAGCCCACAGGAGCTGATGCCAGCTGCAGGCTCTTTACCTCAGGGGCTCTTTTATGAGTGAGCAGATGCAGGGGAAGCTAAGCTGGAATGCATTTCCTGGCCCCAGCTGCAGCCCCCGTGTGCTCCAAGCTGTTAAAGGAGTTTTCCACGGAACCTGGGCAGCTCCCACACGAGGCAGATGCGTGGGGGCTCTGTCTGGGCACCATGAGAACACCCAGCTCTCTCCTGTGGTGTTTTCCAGAGATACAGCCTTAGTGAGTAATGAGGAATTTAATCATCATGTAAGGCTGATAACAGACTTGTTCTTCTGCAAAGGGAAATGGGAGAGGGGGCATGGAATAAACTGCATGTCCCACAGTTATCTGTGTGGAGCTGTGTTTGTCTTTGGCTTCCCCTGGAGATTCTGGAGGATGCAGCAGCATCCATACCCACAGCAATTCAGTCTGTTTACAGGGAAAGTTAATCTATGTCCACACCAAATTTAAAACAACTTCATGCCTCTAGAAGGCTTTGTACTGCTGTAGTGGTTACTCATTTCTTGCAGAGTTATAAAGCAAAAAAAAATGTCACTAAGAACATTTGGGGGTTTTGTACAGTTTTTTTTAAAAATTGCAGTAAAAGTCTTCCTGTTAAGTGGCATCTCTCAGGGAAAAGAACCCTAAATGTATGTTTAGAATATTAAAATTAAGCTGCTTATAATGCTTTTTCTGCAAGGGAAGGCTGCATTTTCAGATGCATTCTGCCCCAGAGTGCTCTTTCAAGCTCTTGGGGACTTCCTGCCTGCAGCTGAGATGGTAAGTGTCCCTTCTGCCATTGATTGTAAGCACCAGAGAGGTGAGGATGTTGGGAAAAAAAAAAAAAAAAAAAAAAAAAAGGCAAGCAACAAGCAGCTTTTGGAAAGCTTTCCTTACGGAGGAATGTTGACTGTAGAGGAAGAGAGCAAATTAACAAAAAGAAGTGATTGGAAAAGCCCACATGTCAAGGTTTACTTTCTGATTTTTCCAAGTTAAAGGCAATCATGCAAGTATAGAAATGGCAGATGCTGGACAAGGATGCTTCAGTGTCTCCTTGGGTCTCCTCTGCGCACCAGGAGACACTGGGAGAAGTTCAACCCTGTTGTAGGATTTATTATTTTCTAGTATGGGGTAGTGCATTGCCCTACAAAAATAAAGCTTTAAAGATAATTGCAGGAAAGAATGGTTCCCTGTCTGCTACCACAAGGATACCAAGCCCTTTGATGACACTAAAGCATGACTGCTCCCAACTTCCTTTGGAGCTGACAGTAGTTTAGTGATGCTGTTGCTGAAACTTGTTTCACATGGTAGGTAATTCTGCTGAGAGGAAGATTAGGCTACTTTAGGCTGAAATTTGTCTTTTTATTCCTCCTGCTGTGGGCTGTGCTCAGAGCTGGATCCAGTCACTAGACTCTTAATCTGCTCTTTGAAGATTTTGTGGTACACCAGATGCCAGGTGACGCTGGGTTTTGCTCATAGGCACTCGGTCTCCTTGCAGACAGTGCTGAGGGTGCCCAGCAAGTGCTGCCGAATGTATCTTTGGATTCTCAGTCTGCAGATCCTTCCAGAAAGCAGTGGTTAGGGCAGTGTGGTGTTTTCTGATGGCTTGAAGCAGCTCTCCCTAGCTCTTCTGTTTTGGGTACATCCTTGTTGAACATGCCAAGGTTGGCAGCAACCACCTTGGAGATGGGACAGCTGTAGCACAGGTCCCCCATGCTGTGCTCTCCTCCCATGCTCAGCTCTCAGTTTACCTTTGATGGCTGCTTTCCCCCAGAGCTCCAAGGACTGGGTCTGTGCTGGGCTTTAGACTGGATCTTGGGCTTTTGCACAGGACTCTCCATCTCGTTTCTGTTCTCCTGAGCTCTGGCACTGTCCTGGGGGAAAAGACAGCAAAACCCAGCAGTGTTTGAAGGAGGAGGTTCATGGTCCTGCCAGGCAAAGAGGATGTAAAAACAGAGGGCATGGAGCTCAGCCCTGTTGCACAGCAGGCTGGGTCCTGCCATCCATCCTGCTCAGCTGCAAGGATGTGAGTTTTGCCCAGGTGGAGCAGCCCTGCCTTCTGCTGCCTTGTCCCATGGCTGTCTTAGAGCTGCAGGTTTGGAGAGAGCAGTGTTGCTGTGGCCGGTGAAACTGGGCTGAGCTAAACACAGCATGGTGCCCAAGAACAGAAATTGCTACTTGACTTTTTCACCCTAGAACATGATTTCTGGGATTAGCTGGAATAGAAGAAAAGCACTAATAGTCTAATCTCTGATTTTTGTATTCAGGGTCCTGCCTTTGTCCTCCTCAAACCCAGTAGCTCTGATCCCTGTGTTTCCAGCCCAAGCAAACCCTCTCTGAGTCTTCTGGAAAGTAGGAGGAGCTGCAATTGTCAAATACACTTGGTTTTATCTCATTCAGAGCAATGGATGGGAGATAAAACAGTGAATGATTCAATATGAGAGAAAATAAATTTCTACCAATTGAACTAAAACAACTTTGTGTGTGTGACTTTCTCTAGTGCAAATAAATTGCTTCGGGCTTCCCAGAGATAGCTGCCACCACGTTGTTACCTGCCACGGGATTTTCCTGCCGTTCTGTAACTATTTGCTGATTCCTGCTAGGATCAGCCAGGCATGTCAATGAGGAAGTAAGGCGTATCATCTTGGTGCACCTCAGCATGAGTTAACTCTGCTGTTGCTATTTATACAGGGGAAAAAGTCCCTTGTTTAGTGCATATTCTAACAGAAAGGGCAAGCTCTGTTGTACCGGTTGCAAGCAGCACGTAACGGCTTCCTCTGGGCTCCTGCAAGAAGCAGCTGCTTTTCGGGTGTGCTCTGCAGGTGCGTGACAGCTTTTCTTCCCTGCTGCCCCCACACTCCCGGTGTGACTGCTGAGCTGCCTGCTCTGCTCTCCACTGGTCCCCAGCTCGCTGTGAATTCTGCTGTCCACAGAGAGTGCTGTGTGCCCTGTCCTGGCCCCTGCACTGGAAGAGAATGAATGTGGGGTGGTGGCATTAAACACCTGCTCCAGCCGTGATCCCACAGCCCCAAATCTGAAATGGGGCCACTCCCCAGAGTGCCTGAGGCTCCAGGCTGACACTGCTGCTTCTGACCAGATCTGTGGTGACGCTGGAGATGTGGCTGCTACTGTCTTGCCTCCTTCTCTGCGGCTCTTTCAGAGGGGTGTTAGAAGTGGCTGTAGCTGGTTAACTGCTCCTAAGTAATGGTTCTGCTCGTCATTGTGGTTACACCTCCCAAAGCTCCTGTCCCCTCTGGCAATACCTGACTGGGAGCTGCTCACAGCAGTTTCTCATGCAGCATACTCGAGGCTGAGAGACTGTCTGGGGCTGTAAACAGGGTGGGATGGAGGGCTGGGGTGTGATGGGTAACAGTGATTGAGGGACAGGTTTCAGCTCATGGCTGTGCACCGTTAGGGCATTCCCATGGAGCTTGAGAAAACATGTGTGGCACAGCCCTTTGCCAGCAGCCATGTGAGGGGAAAAATGATTTTTCCCTGTGTCCTGCTGGGGCAGCAGCAGGGGTGGGCAGAGAGCTGGGAGGGTGGGGAGCCCTGAGCACAGTGAGCAACAGGGAACTCGAGCTGTGAGCAAGAAACACAGGCTCCTTTTAGACAAGGCTGTCGGCTCAGTTTCGCCAGTGCTTAAAGGAGCTTTGTTCTCTGTGCTGTTTAGAGGCTGATTTCCCTGTATCTTAAACAGAAATCTTGTTTTTAGCCTTGAGAAAAAAAGCTTTTTAATTTATAAAGGCATAGCATTTTTCTATCCCCTCCTTTCCCTCCCCACAATGACTGGTATTGCTTGGACAATGCTGCTTTTTGCAGCATTGTCCAAGAGAGTTCTGCTCTTGAGCTTGTATTTCTCAATCATTGCTGAAAACAGGGCTCGTCACAATTGCATTTTTCTCTGGAACCTGCAGTAAAACACCAGCTATTCGTCACCTCCCACACTGTGATCACACTTGCTGGTGCCTGTGAGCAGAGAAATGCTGATTAAAGTACCAGCCTCCCTTGTCTCTCTGGAGAAGCCACGCTGAGCCCCTCCATGGCATCTTGAGAGGGCAGTAGGGCTTTGGCCATGGGGCAGCAGGTGCTGGTGCCATGCAGGGCTCCAGACACAGCTCATGGGTGATTAGTGAAGCACAGGCTATTGCATTACTATTTCTTTTTCTTGCAAATGTCCCCTTTCACCTCACAGGTTTAAAGCCTGCCCTATTAACCTTTTTCACCTGCCAGCTCCTGTCAGCTGCAGTGGGATGTGGAGGGGATTGCATCTCCCGCAGGCCCAGCAGGGACCCCACCTGCCCATTTTCTTGCTCACACAGGTAAAGAAGGCTCAAATTGCCTCCTGAGGAAGAATCAACAGGCAGGCAGGCTCAGGAGATGAGGACCTAAGGCACGGGGGAGTGTCCTGGTCACCAAGTCATACTTTCCTGGTGCTGTCATCTGTGCCAAGGGGCTACTGTAAGGCAAGAAGACTCTTGCTGTGTGCTCAGAGACAAGGTAGGAAGGATGGTACGGTTGATCTTGCACAAAGAGGAAGTTTGTCTTGTCTGTTTGCATATTTCTCATGGCAGTAAAAAAAAAAGACAAATCTGGGAGGCTCCCCAATACAGAAGTCTGGGGCATCACCATCTCCCAGGTCCTAATGCTGGTCCTCATTGTCCCCTTCAAGGGAAGCACAGTTTGCACTCCCCTCCAGGCCCTCCTCCTCACCAGCATGGGCCCCATGGCCTCTCCATCCCAGCTTTCCTTCCAGTCATGTTGATGTCACGTTCAGCATGGTGTTGAAATGAAGGAAAAATGTTCATGCTAAGAGAGTTTCTGCACTTTATGTACAATCAGTAGTGCTGCTAATCACTTCTGAAATTTTCTGTTCTTTTGTGCTCAAAGCTATCATTAAAGCTTCATGAGAAATTAGTCATTCTTTGGAACTTGCGGCTGGTCCAGGTTTTGCCTTTGGGTTTGATTTTGTGAGCAGTCTGAGCCATCCTCACCAAAATGGGTTGATTCAAAGCAGCCACTTCCTCTTTGAGCCATATTTCACTAAAAGAGTTTGAATTGGCTTTTTTCCCCCCTACCTTACTGTAGCAACTATTGCATCTTTAGGATTAATACCAGCTTTCATACCCGAGGTAAAAACAGGAATGGCTGTGATGAGCTTTCTGTCTGTGACAGAGAGAAGCTGTCGTGTCACTTTCTCCGCTTGTCACCGGCGGGGCAATGGGCAGCACGGCCTCTGCCCGGGCACCAGCAGCTGATTCCAGCCCTGAACGCGAGAGGAGAATGAGGCCGCACCCTGCGAGCAAGAGGAAGGCGAACTCAACACCGAAAATCTGGAGAAAACGCCTCAGCTAATGGAGGGCAGCGAGGACCTCGGGCCGGTTTCCTCTCCTGGCCCGACCCCCGTGGTGCCGAATTTCCCCTCCCGCTACGCTGCCCCAGGTGTCGAAGCCCCACACGAGCCGAGGTGACTCGTGCTGAGGCCCTGGTGTTTTCAGGGAGTAAAACAAACCCGTGTCGCTGCTGGCGCTGCCGGAGGTGCCCGCGGTGCCTGAGGGGGATCCCCGCGCTGGGGCCGGGCCGGGAGCGCTGCCCCAGACCTGCGCTTTCCTTGGGGCCGGGAGCCAGGGAGGCACCGCGGGCCCGGCTGGGCCCAGGCTCTTGGCTCTGCCCGTGCAGCCGCGGAGGAGGAATGGCCGCAGGACGGGGATTTGGGAGATTTTGGGGGATTTTGGGGGTTTTGGGGGTTTGGGCACCACCCTGAGGGTCCCTCGCGCCCCCGCTCCCCCCGCCCCCCCGCGCTCCCCGCGCGCTGAGGCGCGTGAGCCGGCGGCGGGCGGCGATTGGCTGCGAGGCGCCCCCCGGGGGCCGCCGGGCCGCGGCCGCGCGCCGAGCGCCATTCACGCCGCTGCCCGCCCGCACGCGCCGAGCCCATTCACAAAAAACTTCATTCATAAAAGCGGCGGCGGCGGGGGCGGCCCGGGCGCTGCGGAGCTGCTGCCCCGCGGCGCTGCGGGAAACGGCCCCGGAGCCGCGGGAATGTTCCTTGCTGCGGGATTATTGTGGTGCTGAACGACTTTCCAGCGGGAATTAGCGAGACCGACGCTGCTCAGTGTTTTTGGAAAGAATCCTGGGTTTGTGCCTGACGGCGGGGCAGGAGCTGCACGCAGGGATGCTCTTCGCCTCTGGGGCAGCGGCGATGGAAGTGCAGAGAGCCCGGCACCTTACGGGGTTTATGCCGGTCTGAAAATACGTTTGGGCTTGTAGCTATCTTGCTCTGCTTTGTGTGGAATATGCTTGAGCTTTCGCTGCAGCCAGGACTCTGCAATTATTGATGCTACAGCTGTGAATCTTCAGAACTAGGTGGGATTTAGTGCCTGGCTTGAGGCAGGAATGAAGGCAGGTTTGGATAGTGGCTCCTCAACTTAAGCTGCTGTATCACCGATGTGCTTTCCTGTATGCTGCTTTTATTTCTGCTTACAAAATGCCAGATGTCCATTCAGTTTTAAGCCTTGTTCTTTGAGGAAAACAAACCATTCAAGAGGGAGTCAGCAAAAATATCCAATAGGTTTCTGTTTTGAAAATTGTTTGACTTGCTTGATTTCCATGTAATTTATCTACAAGAGCTAATTTATGCAAGAATATCCAGTTACAGACCTGCCAAGGCTATGAGAGAACGCAGCCAGCAGAGCCTCGGTGGACACGTCCTGTATGTAGGGTTATTCAGAAATCCAGGAATGCTGCACAGGGCTAAGTACAGCCGATTCAGGAATGATTCCATAACCTCCCTAGATGAAGGTACACAAAATACGTCTTTAAATATCAAAGGTTCTTCCTCCTCTTCCCATTCTTCAACACCCAATTTACTGACAGAAGATGTCTCCTTGGGACCACAGGACACCTGCACCACGCTGTGCACGCTGATCCCCCGGATGGCCAACATTAAACTTGCCAACCCATCAAATCTGCCGGGCCTGAAAAGCTTCTGCCTGGGAACCAAAGAGGTGCCACGAATTAAACTCACGGAGTGCGTGACCATCCCGAGCAGCCCAACCTCGCCTGAGATCAGCTGCCTGTCGGCCTCCTACCCCCAGCCCGACCTGGACAAGCTGCTGCCAGCCCCAAAGGCAGCGGGGGACTGCGCTGTGCGGGGTGCTGAGGAGGCCGCTGCTGTGGGCAGGCAGGACAGGGGCCTGGCCCAGAGCAGTGAAAGCTCGTACAGCCAGGAGCCAGGAACCACCTACAGCGTGCGGGTAAGTACTTCTCCCTGGGCTGCCATTCTCGGACAAAGCAAACAGCTACGCTGGCTGCTGGGTGACATCCATTTTCCTGCCTCTAGAATCCATGCCCCAAACCATTGAGTTCTCCCATGTATTTCTTGTCTTCTGGTGTACCTAGAGCTGTGGCATTGAACTGAGGGAGCTAAAAGCACCCCAGGTGCTTCCAGAGGTAACACAACATCCAATTCCAAAGGACTGTCTGTAGACTCTCTGAGGAGTGCTCCTGAACCGCAACTAAGACAGGTTACTCTGCATGTTGGAGGGAAAAGGAGACCCATGAAAGGGCCTCCCATCCCTCACAGAGAGCAACTCCTGGCATTAGGTGCGTTCTGGCCCATGCTGCTGATACATTTGTCCGGGAGGCGGTGGGGCAGGCTCTGCCCAGGTTATATTTCCACTATGGTTTTCTGCTGGTCTTCCTTTTTTGGGCAATATCTCAGAAGGGGGTTCACTGGCAGGAGCCTCACAATGCAACAGGGAGATTTTTTTTCCCTTCATCTTCCTGGTTATGTTGCTCCCGTGGCTGTGGGCCTGCAGGAACCAGCCCAAGGAGAGCTGCAATAACATTGCTGACATGTCCTGACCAAAATCTTGGCGTCTTTTTCAACTAACCCTTTCAAATAGTAACAAGCAGATTGGTAAATAAGTAACATGGCAGTTTGGGCATTTCAGCATCAGAGTAAGTGCAAGGTGAGAGGATGAGCAAGGTACTCATTTCCCTAGAGACCACCAGACTTCTTCAGGAGCTGGTGATGAAGCCTCAGAAGAGCTGGGAATGGCCAGGGCTGCAGCATGGCAGGACTACGGTGCAGAGGGATGGTCTCACCTGAAGGCAAAGTGGAACCAAGAGACCAAGGGCTGGGCATTTGGAGCTGCTTCCAACCCTTACCCTCTCACCCTGGCCCTTGCCCTCCTTCCTGTGTGTTTGGAGGCACTCACTCTCCCCATGCAGCTTCTTGTGCCCTGTTGGGGTATGGGATTGCTGGGATCTCTACAGAGACCCTTTTAGGAAGCAGGTCAGGTCTACATTATTGGGACTGCTGCTGTGAGAAATCTTTGGCCTTTACAGCTTAATTAGAGTATGAGGAGGATTCAGCATGGAGAGGATCTACAGTTATTTTAGAAAGGCAGTAATGTGGTGAATTAAAGAAATGTCGTAGGACAGGAGCTGTCCTCTGCAGACTGGAGCAAGGCAGAAATTTTCTTGGTTGTTTTAAAAAGGGGCCATTCTGGGCTCATTGCATCCCCTGGGGAGGCAGCTGTGGCCAGGCGTGACAGCCACATGTCACCCGGGCCCGGTGAGTAAACTGAGACCCATAATAGCACCTAGTCCCCCAAAATGCTTATGCAAATAACAAAGAGCCCAAATACTAATCCTGTAAGAGGGCCTGGACAGCTCTGATTCTCATGCTGTTGTGTTTCAAAACATACTTCGTTGGCAGATTGCTGCAGGCTTTATAAGGGGGATATTTAGCATGTCCTTGTTCACATTCTACCCGTTAAAAACCTTCCCACAATGCTGCCCATCTGAAGCTGAGGTTGTCTCTAAATGGTACCCATAGTGGCCATGGCACTTATCTTTCCTGCTTGTGTTTGTTATGGCTCTATGAGCCTAAGGAATTTTCCAAGAGGCACTTGCCTTCCTCTCTCTTGCTTGTTGGGGAGTGCCAGGGATGTGGCTGCTGCTGAGAAGGAGGATAAGATCTGTCTCTCAGCACTGTCCTGCATCAGTGGTTTCTCTGAGAATAGCAAGGATGATGTTTACTGGACCTAACATGGAGTAAGGCTCTGTACCTGAGCTTAAATCAAAGCATGAGTCTTTGAAAGATGGTTGGTTGGTTTTTAAAAATTATTTAAGTGTAATATGAAAAGGAAATGCTATTGCCATATATTTCATTACAATACCGTTATACTTTAAAATAATATGGTAAAGGTTGTCTATAAGGGCTTTTAGCAATGTACACGTTGATCCTCTGCTAGTGGTTTGATGGTGAATGCATATAGATACATGTCTAAAATCAGTTACATGTCTCTAGATTAAAAAGACCCTGACCATTTCTAGCACGGTAGTTCAGAATTACATGAACTGAAAGCACACGTGGGCCCCAGTACCCTGCACAGTCCTGCTGTTGTCCATGGAGGATGCGACAGGTCAGCCTGGAGCACTTGCTCCCTGCCTCTGCGAGGGGAAGGGGGTCCAGCACAGCCCTTTCCTGGTCCTAGGTTGCCACCAGCGCCTCTTCCATGTTCAGGGCAGGGAAATACTGTGGTATTTCAGCTGCAGCCACTTCCCTGGCGCGCAGCACTGTGACACGGCGCCCGGAGAGCGGCTCCGCATCCCCGTGGTGAATAAAGAGCCGCACGGGCTGCACGGCCGGGCCCCGCGGGACGGAACCGCGCTCGGTGATTCACGGCCCGAGCCAGCTCGGCTGGGAACCGTCAGCCGGGGGTGCCGGGCCGTGCCGGCAGTGCCGGGTTGGGGTTTGGGGCTCGGGGTTTGGGGTTTGGGGCTCGGGGTTTGGGGTTTGGGGCTCGGGGCTCGGGGCTCGGGGTTTGGGGCTCTGGGTTTGGGGTTCGGGGTTCGGGCAGCCCTGCAGCGTCCCGCGGCAATGCGCCCCGGCACCCGCAGCGCCCGCGGGGCACTCGCGCCTCCCTGGGGAATCGATTCCCACAGGAACCTGCGTGTTTTCAGGCTGTTTGCTGTTCACAGCCCGAGAACGGGGACACGGTGGATTGGGAGCAATTCTGTTAGAGATCTGGTCAGAGTGCAGTGCTGCAAAAAGTGTTTTTTCAGGAAACAAAGCTAAAAAGAAAGGTAAAAGGAAAATATTACTATATGTCGGTATTTAGGATTTTCCCTTTTTTTTTTTTTTTTCATGATATATTTAAAAATTTAAAACCTATGAATGAAAGGGTTGGACTTTCCCATAAAAGTTTTCATTTATCAAAAACCATTCTTCTTCACAAAAAGCCCTGGCTTGCTGCCCTTAGGGTAAAGGCTGTGTTGCGTGGGCATGAGGAGTGGGACAGACCAAGGGCCTGTCTGTCTGTCTGTCTGTCTGCACCGCTGCTGCTGCAGGGGGGAAGATGAGAGCAGGGCAAGCACATGAGGAGAGTAAGGCTAGCACTGACAAACTACTGGGAGGACGTGGGTTTGTGCCTAATGATCGTTAATGGGATCTTTTAATCCTTGAAGGTATCTGGTCTGTTTTCCAGCTGGTTCTGCCTGGATTTTGTGCTGTCTCACAGGTGCCCTGGGGGTACCACCCACGTCTGCAGTGGTGTGCACTGCTGCTGTGGGCTGCCTTGGCCTCTCTGCTTCCTGTGGTGGGGATGGCAAAGGTTCTGCTGGCTTTGCTTTTGGATCTGGATGGGGCTGGTGTTTGCTGGAGGAAACCGGTGTGGTTCAAACTGAGGAATGAGCCAACTGAGTGTCCTGCAGGGCACAAACCTGGGCCAAAGTTCTTCATTAGCTGCCTGACTAGTGGCTGCTAACAGCGGTA